AATCCCGACTCATAGCAACCTTTTAGGTCAGAGCAGAACTGACAGGTCCAGTTGTTGACCACATAACTCCCATGCACCTTGTTGTTCTTGTTAGGTGCTGTCGAGTCGCTTGCGACTCATAGCGGCCCTGTGTACAACAGCCCTAAACTCTGCTCTGTCCTGTGCCAATCGCACTGTCTCCGATACACCCATCACGATTACTCCAGTTACTGAATCAATCCACCTCATTAAAGGTCTTCCTCTCCTGCACTATTCCTCCACCCTCCCAAGCATGATGTCCCTCTCCAAGGACCGGTCCCTCCTAACATGTCCAAAGTATGTCAGATGATGCCTCAGAATCCTGGCCTCCAAGGAGCAGCCCGGTTTAACCCTCTCTAGGATGAACCTATTTGTTTTCTTAACAGTCCGTGGTACATGCAGCACTCTTCTCCAGCACCACAGCTCAAAGGCATCAATTATCCTTCTATTCTCTCTAGTCATTGTCCAACTCTCTGATGCATAACAAGTGATTGCAAAGACCATGGCCTGTATCAAATGCACCTTAGTCTCCAGAGAGACACCACATTGCTCTTCAGGACTTTGGAGAGGTCCCTAACAGCAGACTTTCCCATCGCAATATGTCTTTTAATTTCCTGGCTGCTGGTGCCAAGAGTGTTGACCATGGAGCCAAGCAGACTAAAGGTGTGAACAATCTCAATTGTGTGTTTAAAAGGATAGCATTATGATCAGTTGATCATATGATAGTAACAGTGATGCATTACATTAATACTGTATGTACTTGACTTATAGTAGAAAATGCTACACTCTTTTTTTTTTTTTACAGTAAAAAGGATAATTTTTATTTTGTTTCCTTTTGGCTTATAGTATTGATGTACTTTTTAATCACGTGTCATTTAGGGCAGCGTTGGCCTCCATTCATTCACTAATAAACTAATCTTCACTATTGGTCTTTTACAGATTTATGTTGGTTGCGGCGAAAAAGAAAAATTAATTCTGGGCTCGGTTCCCTCTGAGGATTTGCCTGGGGGTTTCGGTTAATTTCCCCCCAGGAAACTCCGGATACTAAAAGTGTCACTTGGAAAGGAGAGGAGGTCAC